AAGAAAGAAAGAAAGAAAGAAAGAAAGAAAGAAAGAAAGAAAGAAAGAAAGAAAGAAGGGAAAAAGCAGGTCAGCAAAACTAGCCAATACAACAATTGAGTTTAATAGAATACATATTGTTCTAAACCATAATCTCCCACCTCTGCAAAGTAGGAAGGAAGGAAGGATGTGCTTTTCCCTTTATCAGAGGCAGCTAGGTGGTACAGTGTGAAAAGAGTGCTGCCATCTAGAGTCAGGAAGTCCTGACTCTCGTTCAGGAGTTCAAATCTAACCTCAGACACTTACCAGTTGTGTGACCCTGGGCAAGTCATTTAGTCTCTGCCTCAGTTTCCTCACCTATAAAATGGGGATAGTAAATAGCACCTACCTGAGTCGTTGGGAGGATCAAATGAGATTATATTTGTAAAGTGCTTAGCACAGTGCCTAGAACATAGTAGGCACTGTATAAATCATCATCTTCTTCCTCTTCTCTAGGACTAAGCTTGGTCATTTACAATAACATGCCATTCAGCTGTGTGGGTTTTTTTTTTAATTCTCTCTTTAAATTGTTGAAGTTATATGTATTATTTTGAGTCATGGACTCCTTTGGCAGCCCTGATAAAACCCAGTGGACCTTTTCTCAGAATAATGTTTTAAAGTTTGCAAAGCACTTTATAATATGATTTCATTTTATCCTCATGACAACTCTGGGAGGTGGGTACTACTGTTTCACTATTTTACAAGTGAGGGAACTGAAGCAGTCTGAGGCCAAATGATTTACTCCGGGGTCACACTGCTAGTAAATGTCTGAGGCTGGATTCAAAATCAGGTCTTCATGACTGCAGGTCCATTGCTCTATTAACTGAACCACTTAGCTGCCTCTAAATGCATAAAATACATAGAGTACATTGGAAACCAATTATGTTGAAATACAATTATCAGATTTTTTGAGACTTACTACTAAGCTTCCTCCACTATAATCTTCTTCTGAAGATCTTCATTATGGAATGGACATTATACTAGATTGTTTAAAGGCTATTCAATGGAGAGCCTTAGAAAGTTGCCTGGAGGGGCAGCTGGGTGGCAGTGGATGGAACATCAGCTCTGGAGTCAGGAGGATCTGTTCAAATCTGACCTCAGACACTTACTAGCTGTGTAATCCTGGCCAAGTCACTTAATTCTGATTGCCCCCCCACCCCCCAAAAAAGGAACCCAACAATAAAAAAGAAAATTGCCTAGGACACTGAGAAATTTTGATTTCTCTCTGTCCATCTCCAGCTGCAAATGACCTCTTGCTAAAATTACCTTGGTTTCACAGAAGAGCTGCTATCTACACCTGTGAAGTGAGCATTATCCTTATAGTATCCATCAGTTGGGAACTGGCATACCATTGTTCTAGAAGAAATAATGAAAGGGACAATTTCAGAGAAACCTGGGCACTTACATGAAGTGACATGGAGTGAAGAGAGCAGGGCCAGGAGAACGTTTTATACAAAACAGCAACACTGTAAAGACTTAAGAGTGAGCAATGCCCAGTCATGATCCAGAGGACTGATCATGAATCCTGCCACCCACTTCCTGCAAGGTGGTGGACTCCTGGAGCAGAATGAGACACACGTTCCTTCCTGCATTTATGTGGGTGCTGCTATTCCTCGGGCAACTGGTTAAGTCACACAATTAATCATCCCCTCCTTTCTTCCCCAACCTCTCTCCAGCTGATGCCATATTTTGTAATGGAAATATTTGCCTCAATGCCAGGATTCCCCGGACTATTTGTTGCATGTGCCTTCAGTGGAACCCTGAGGTAAGCTGCCTGAATATTATTTACTATGATGAAAGTTAATACAGCCTAGTGATGAGAGGGCTAGTGTAAAGTCAGGTAGATATGACACATAGTGGTTATGTGACCTTGGATACATCCTTTAACTTCCTGTGTCCTCAGATAACTCTCTAAGATCATAACTCATAGAGGAGCTGTAGATAGAAAACTAATAATAATATTACGATGATGATGATGTAAAATATATTTATATAATATAAAAATAATCATTAGCATTTTATGACACCTACTATGTGCCAGGCATTGTGCTTAGTACTTTACAAAAATTATCTCATTTTTATCCTCACAACAACCCTGGGGGATAAGTTCTACTATTATCCCCATTTTATAGTTGAGGAAACTGAGGCAGAGGTTAAGCAACTTGTCCAGTGTTGCTGAACTAGTGTCTGAGGTCAGATTTAAACTCAAATCTTCATGATTCCAGGCCCAGTACTCTATTCTCTGATACGTGTCAGCAGACTAGGTTTCCAACCTTGGAGTTCTCTATTCTGAAGAAGTCAAGATTAGTCTTAAGGAGAAAAACAAAAAAGAAAAAAAAAAGATTATGTGTGGGTCAGGGGTCCAAATGTTGTCTTCATTAAAAAAAAATTGTCTAGCCACTGACTGCTCTGATCAATGATAAGTATGGAAACAGACTTTCTCTTCTTCCCTGGTTCTACTGTGAAATGCTATGACCAATGTGCTTTTTATGGCAGTCTATAGTGATGTATACAATGACAGCAAAATGTATCCACTCCTAAAACACTCTGGGGAAGAAGACTGTTTTCCCAAACAAAGGAGCAGAAAGCTAGGAGAGCCACCAATTCTCCTGTGTGAGCAGGTCCCTCTGTCTACAGAGATAAAGAAATCTGCCTCATTGAGCCAGCCAGAAATCTAAGTTGAAGAACTCGGCAGCTGGGCCCAAGGACAGGGCTGCTGACCCTCTTGTTCGTTACTATAACGTGGAGCAGGGCCAGGATAGAGCTCATGGAATCCTCGCTGCTGCCTGCTGGGACAGTCTCACGTCAGGGGACCGACAAGTCCAGGAAACCAGTGGTTGGGCAAAAATTAACCAGCTGCAAATCGGCAGAGAAGGGATGCTAAGTCTGAATTCTACTTCAGGCATTTCCTAGCTGTGTGAACCTAAGGAGAAGATTAATATCCCTCAGCTTTGGTTTCCTGCTCTATAAGAAAATCAACAAAAGTCTCTATCTCACTGGGCTGTTGGACAACCCCATTCCTGTGCACAGCTCTGATGCTGAAATAGTCACCACCACCACTACCACCACCACCAAAATAATAATAGCTAGATAGCTTTATATAGTACTTTAATCTAGCCTTTATATACCACTTCAATCTAGGCTTTATACCCTATTTCCATCACCTGAAATCAGAGATAGTGGGAAGAAACTCATCTCTTAAAATGAAGTTTCTCATCTCTTGAGTGTATGGGCTTAGACAGTCCTGTAGGACTGGTCTCAGAAGTATTTAGGATAATAAGCTGCCTTGGGGGTAGGGGTGGGAGGATATGCTATGAGGGGGGTCTGAAATTCTATATTTGTCAATTTTACTGTTAAAATGAAACTAGGTCCTGCATCAAGACCATTATTTTCATCCAAGATAAGGACTGTTTGTTTGCAAATTTGTGTTGTCCAAGCTTAGCATAGGGTGAGGCAGTTGGCAGTCAGTAAGCAACTCAATACATATTTTTATGAACTTACTAGATATGGGGTACCGGGCTAGGCACTTCATAATTCTTATTAAAAATTCAATTCAATTAATATCTTAGCATATATCAATTGGTCACCTGGAAAAACAGAACCCTGGGCTTAGAGCAAATGGAACACAGGACAGAAAAGTTTTGTTGGGGGAGGTTCTGTAGAAGAAGACTTGAAGTCACAGGATCTGAGTTCAAATCTTGATTTTGTTACCTGAGTGACAAGTAACTTAACCTTTCTGGGCCTCCATTTCCTTTTCTGTAAAAATTTGGCTTTTAAGGACTCTTCCAGCTCTGATTCTTAATGATCTTAAATACAAATCTATTCCATTGTATACCCTCTGGGGATAAGCCTGCATAGTGTTATTGTGAGGCTCTAGGGGATAAAGGATATCCAGCACAGGAAGAGGCAGATATTGAGAAATAGGGGTTAAATGTCACCCAAGAGAGATTTTTGCCTATCTCAGAAGTTTGCCTAGAGCAGGGGTGGGGAATCTGCCCTCTAGGTCCTTTGTGTGGTCCTTTGACTGAATCCAAACTTCACAGAACAAATCCCCTTGATAAAAGAATTTGTTCTGTAAATCTTGCACTCAGTCAAAAGGCTGAACCCAAGGACCTAGAAGGCCATATGTGGCCTTGAGGCTGCAAGTTCCCCAACCCTGGCCTAGAGCTATTCCCACAGAGAGCCAATCCACTCAAAGCATTTCTGAACAGGGCATTGCAGAGAATAATTAAGTTACAATATTAGTCCATGCGGACATGTGAGTACAAATTATGTTTTAACATCTCCATATCCATCACAGGGTTTTGTGTGATGTCTCTGTTAAGGCACTTTGTCACATAAGCCTTTTTCTAAATGGGCTGACCCAGCAGATAGGACCTGCTCAAGTGTAGAATAAGGCTTGCCTCAGAGCTAAGAAAGCAGTGGATTTTTTAAAAATACTGTTTGAAAACAGCAAATTTAAAAGTGAATCACTCATTAAATCCATTTTGGTTAGATGAATTTAAAAACAAACAAACCAGTCCTACCAAGTTAAAACAAGGCTGGGGGGGAGCAGATACTTTAATCTGCTCAAATGCTTTTTAACTAATGGCTTTGGAAAGCATCCAAAGTATTTTTTTTTTAATTTATATTTGCTTTAACTTGATTGCTATTTAATCCTGGAATCATTCTTTCTGCTGCACTTGGACAGGTCTTCCTAGCCAGTTTGCAGAAATCCAGACCCATTTGCAAATGGGTCTGTTTTTGCCTGTGGGACTTTGCGTAAGAGAATGTATTATAATCTACCTCCTAGACATTTTGAGAGAGAATACATAGATTAATTGTTATTAGCAGTGAAAAAGCTTAGCATTGTGATTTCCAGCCTTCCCAGAAGCAGCCAAGACAACCCCATTCCTGGTAATAGCTCTGATACTGAAGTAATAACAACCATAACAGTCACAATAGCTAGTTTTATGTAGAACTTCAAGGGTTGCAAAGCACTTTACATATTATCTTGTTTGATTCTTAGAACAGCTCAGTGACAAAGGGTCTTTTACAGAGGGGGAAACTGAGACTGGGGGAGAGTAAATGTCTTGCTTAGGGTCACACAACTAGGCAATATCTGAGGCAGAATTCACACTTAGCGTTTCCTGAATCTAGGAGACTAGCACTGCGTTCACTATGCCGCTGATCGGTATGATTCAATGCTACATAATCAGCAAGAAATCCTATATAATTGCTCATTGAGGAAGCTGAAAGCAGAAGGCCTTGAATTTGATATGACAGGCTAGCATTTAATTCAAAAAAACTTCTATTATCTGCCTTCTATGTGCCAGGCTCTATTCTAGGAGATGGGCAGGAAGATGTAAAAGTCAACCCATGACCTCAAGGAGCACAGACTTCAGAAATAATAACCAGTGGTTTATTGCTATCTATGGTCCTGAAATATCTGGAGCTCCCGCTTGCTCCTTGGGGAGCTGGATTAAGTTCAACACCATTAAATATACTGAGTGTAGATAATTGGCAGTAAATATCTATACTATTGTATACTATTGGCTTTTTCTTTTCTAATAGACTGATGTCCTTCCTCTCTGTTCCCAGTAGGTTTCTCTGGAGTCAGCCAGCTTTGATGTATCTCTGCTCTTTGGGAGAATAAGTCTTTTTCTTTTCCTCCTCCCCTCCTCCTTCTTTTCCTTCTTCCTTCTCTTTCTCCCCATCTTCCTCCTCCTTCTCCTTTATGCTCACCTTACACTAGGTCAGGGGTTCTTAATCTGGGGTGCATGTTTAGATTTCAGGAGGGTTATAAACTTGGATGGGAGAAATTACATATTTTCATTAACCTTTGGTTTCCTTTGTAATTTTATGCATTTAAAAAGATTATTCCGAGAAAGGTCTCATAGGCTTTGCCAGATGGAAAAATGGGTCTACAACACAAGAAAGATTAAGAACCCTAGGACTAGATTGAAGGGAGCACCCTGATGTTTCCACTCTCTGGACAAGGTGGACAAGAGAAATAGACACCGGAAACATATTCAACTTTGTCCTATTTTTCATTTCATCAGAATATGCATCCAAAGGGTGTGGGCTAGGATCAGATGCTGGGCCCTAATTCTTGGAAGAATTTAATTCCACTTAACCATCATTTATCAGACACTTACTAAGTGCGAAGGGTCATCCCCATGCCATTCTTGTGGTTGTAACAGCTATTGCAGCTGCTGCTGTCTTCAGATGACCCTGAACATTCTCCTTTTCTAGAAAGGAAGATTTGCAGGTATTACAAAAGGTCATTAAGGCTATTAATACCTAGCTAAGGTCTAGATTGAGGACCAGAGTTTAAAGAAAAAAAAAAGCCCCTGGAAAGGAGGGAGCCGATTAGAGAAAGGAAGCAGCACCTTATTGTTGAATCATTCCAGTCACGTCTGACTCTTGTAGACCCCATTTGAGGTTTTCTTGGCAAAGATACCGGAATGGTTTGTCATTTCCTTCTCCAGCTCATTTTAAAGATAAGGAAAGGGAGACAAATAAGATTAAGTGACTTGTCCAGGGTCACACAGCTGAGACAAGTGTCTGAGACCACATTTGAACTTGGGTCTCCCTGTGCCACCTAGTTGCCCTGACCACAGGTGCCTTGACAATCCCCTGTTTGAGTCTTTTGGAATTGATACCATCTCACTGACCTGGCCAGCCCATAGGTTTCATGGAATGACGGGGTGTCTGTGTCATGGGACTCAAGGGCTTCTGTCCTCTCTCCCTCCAGCACAGTGGCTGCCAGCATCAATGCCTTAGCAACAGTGACTTTTGAGGATTTCGTCAAGAGCTGCTTTTCCAACCTCTCGGACAAGCTGAGCACGTGGATCAGCAAAGGCTTATGTGGGTACAGTCCATAGACCCCTTCTTCTGTACTGTTCTCTTAATTTGACCCTGACTTTATTTTGAAGGCTTCCCATCTCTATGATGGGGCTTAGAATATAGGATTACAGACCGACATAGGCACACATACATATGTGTACACAGAGCTACTATATGCCTGGAAAAAGTAGCCAGTGAGAGGCAGTATACTATAGTGAAAAGAGCATTCAGTGTGGAATCAGAAGATTTGGGTATGATTCCAAGCTCTTCTATTTGTGCTGACAAAGTCAATTCACTTCCCTGGGCCTCAGTTTCTCCATCTGTAAAATTGGGGGAGCAGGGGTTGGATTATATGGCCTCTAAGGGCCCTTATAGCATATTCTCATCAGAGATTAGTAGTTAGGAATGGATATTTAGGTAGAAACAGGATGGTTAGGGAGAAGCTTACTCGAACCTCCCTTCTTCCCTCCATCTCACTATTTTCCCTAAAACTGTAGTGTTAAAGATAGGAACTTTGTATTTACATGGGGAATTTTTTTTTTTTTGGTCAAAAGTCTAACATCTCTAAGGCTCCAAGGCTCCTTCCAGCTTTAAATCTCATGATCCTATGAAATATACCTTTCCCTACCATCACCAAAATGGTCATTGGACCATGTCAAGAATCATATAAATACCATACATTTTTTTATTTAGGGTCTACTTTGACCGAGGTGCTGTGCTAAGCTGCTATATTCAAATAGCTATTTGTCCATATGTATCTATAGGTCTACACATAGATGTATGTATATATATATATACACACACACACATGCATGTATATGTACATACATATATACACATATGTACATATATATTAATATATATTATATGGATAATATATATATAAATATATGTTAGTAAGTGCCTCTAAGAATCAGTTCCACACTGATTATCTGATCTGATCCTCAAAACAACCCCATAAAGTAGGAAAGATATCAAATAACCAAAATGTATTTATTAAGTAACTACTATGTACCAGGCTCTATGCTAAGATTTGGGGATGCAAATACAAAGAATGAAATAATTCCTCTTATCAGTGAGTTTATATTCTATAGGGGGGAGCCAACAAGTACACACACACACACACACACACACACACACACACACATATATATGGCATAAATTTAGTTTATATATATACATACAAAGCAGTTAATTGGAAAGTATGGGAGGGAAGATTCTAATAATTGAGGGGTGTGTGTGTCAGGATATCTATTATCCCTATTATGAAGATAAAATAACAGAGACTAAGAGAAAGATAATTTGCTCTAGGCCACATGGCTTTGAAAGGCTGAGCCAGAAGTCAGGATCTTTTTTTTTTTTTTTGGTTCCATCGAACTTCAAAATGGTGGTTTCCCACAGAAACTACAAGGATCTGTGTCTACTTGGCCTCTTTCTCCCCTTACTTATTCCTTAAGTGTTTGGTCAGAGACAGAATGTCCATGAGTTTAATTCTCAAGAATCTGCTGTCTGACACTGGGAAACGCTTACTCTAAGTAAGACCCTCCTGAAGCTTTGTTAGCTTTGAGGCAGCTTTCGGAGGGTAGTGCAGCTCTCAATGAGATCACTTCTGAAGTTGAGTATTTTAGGGAGTCTGGTTTATATCAGGCTTCCACAGGGAGGCAAGGCCCCAGAACAGACCCAGGTGACCATTCTCTCTTCCAGGCTTGCTATTTGGAGTCGTCTGTACCTCCATGGCCGTTGCTGCATCTCTCATGGGAGGGGTTCTACAGGTATCTTGTATGTGTGTTTTGAATTTATGGGGATGATATAGGGACTTTTTCTTGCTAATATGACTTCTTCATAGAAGTGTGTTTGGGAGAGCCTGTATAGGATGGTTATATACCATTTCTTAAGCAATTTTAGAGGCAGTGTTATCTGGTAGATAGAGTGCTGGGCTTGGAGTCAAGGAGTTCAAATCTCACATCTGACATTTACTGTGACGTTAGCTGTGTGAACAGAAGTAACTCACTTAACATCGTTGGGCCTTAGGATTTAGCTCCCAACTCATAGGCAGTTGGTGACTACAACTCTGCTGGTGGAAAGAGTTCAGGTAATTGGAATCATTCTCCACTCCCATGCTAACCCCCTCCCCCAACCCACATCATTTTCCCCACTGAAGAATTCACATGCTCTTCTTGTATTCATGCATTTATTTATTTATTTATTTATTTATTTTGCAGGGGGTGGGGGTGAGGGTGGGTCGGTTGGGAATCCCAACTTGTGGTTTTATTAGTGCAGGGAGCTCCCCAGAGAGGAAACACCCTCTATCCCTACAGATCCTCAAGTATTGAGCAGCTTATAATATTAAAGAGATTGAGTGAATGGGCACTGAGAATTTAAATGACTTTCCCAGGATAGTTGAACCAGTATGTCTCTGGGGTAGAATTTCAATCCAGGCCTTCCTGAATCTGAGGCCAGCTCTCTTCTCTATATTATACCGTTCTCTATCCTATCATTCTGTATTCACATATTCTTCAAGTTACCTCCACTAGAGCAGGTTCCATTAGAGCATTCTCCCAGTGCAAAATGCCAAAGAATCTGGGATGGTAAATTCGTGGTTCAAATGAATTAGAAACAGATTAAAACAACAATCAACCTTCCAAATGATGGAATGCCCAATCTGGTAATGAGATACATTAGGTACCTTGACATCATATCCAAATATGTCCAGATCTTAAAGCAGCATCACAGCCTCCGAAGTGGATGTTTGGTTTCACCTCAAAATTGTCCCTCACTTTTACCCTCTGAGTGAATTGGAATTGCTTCTTTTAAGTACACTTAAAAAAAAGGAGTGCCCTACCAATGCCCTACCCAGCCTGTTTTTCAAAATATTTCCATATGCTTCATCCATAAGGAATGATACATAACCCCAGGGATACTGAATGGCAGAAGCAGAAACTCAGTACTTTTTTGTTTTTGCTCCTTGTTACCTCTCAATGCTGACTTTCTCATAGAAGTTATAGCATCCTCGGTCTTCTTGCCCTCTCGCTTGTTGTTCAGTCATGCCCAATTCTTCATGACACTGTGGACCGTACTCTTATAGGGTTTCCTCAGCAAAGGTACTGGAGTAATTTGTCACTTCCTTCTCCATGCCCTCTGTCTACCCTCATTCATTTCTCAGACTCAAGATCAGCAGAAGACCTGATGACCAGGCTATCCAAGACTCAGGTGTAGTCAATACCCCTTTCCTGAGATGTTCAAGTTATCCATTAGGGATAATGGTATTGGATGATGATGTCTGATGGTTGGACTAGACAACCTTCAAGGTTTCTTCTCATTGAGGCAGCTAGGTGGCATAATGGCTAGAGTATTGAACTTGGAGTCTTGCCTCAGATCCTTATGATCTGTGTGACTCTAGGCAAGCCACTCCTCTGTAAAGCAGAGATAAAAATAGCAGCTACCTTGCAGGATTGTTAGAAGAATCCAGTGACAGATATTATATAAACCTTGAAGATGTTATACAAACCTTGAAGCACTCTGTAAATGTTAGCCATTATATTATTCTAAGATTTAAAAGAAATCCTATAGATGCTTCGGTAAGGGATAAACCACAAATATAACAAAGGACTTTAAATCCTGCATGAATATTTTAAAGCTAGAACACTGGCCTCCCCCATTTCCCAGGGGGGATGGATACTTTTTCTGGAATGATCGATTGATGCTTCACCACATTTTTCCACCAGGTATAGCAAACTGCTTTATCAACTTCCTTGATTCTCCCAGGTACAGTAAACTGGAAGTTAGTAAATTAGCTTCCCTGGCTATACAATAACAAAAGGAGTTTTGAATTAATCCAATCAATCAGAAGGAAAAAAAAATCCAAGGGTTGTCTTACTAAGTATCAGTTGTGGGAAAAGGCTGCCATCAGTCCTATTAGCCACTAGTTCCTTAAAGCTCTACCTGAGTTATTTATTTTTCTCAAAATGAACTCTGAACAGAAGCAGATTTAGTAACATCTTGCTGGATAAGGATTCTTCATCTGGAAGGGACCTTTGATCATCTTGTAGAATCATGAAATCTGAAAGATGAGAGGCCATCTTGTCTAATATATAGAACTAGAACCAGAATCCCCTCTCCATCTAATAAGACAGGTGCCCATCCAGCCTCTGCTTGAAGATGTCTAATGATGGGCCAGTGGTGGCCCATTCCACTTTGGATAACTCTAAGGAAGATGATGCTTTCCCTTATCTCAATGTGTTTCTATACAATTTCCAAAGCATTGTTCCTAGATCTTCCTTAAGTGTCTAAGAAGTTTAAATTAAATTCTGCTTCCCTATTATAGCCCTTCAAATACCTTGATAAAGTGAACATTTCTTCTCTAAGCTTCCTCTTAGCCTAGTATCTCAATTCCTTGATCCTGATACTGGAACATCTATAAAATGAGAGTAGGGAATTGGACCAAAGGATCTCTAAGGTTTCTTCTAGTTGTAGATTCTGTGATCTTACAAAGCGATAAGATAAACCTGTGAAGTTAGGATTCTTTTCAACTAGAAGAGTTGAGGTAACTAAATAATCAGGGAAAGTATTATGAAAGAGATGACCTTGAAGGATAGATTGGATTTCAACAGGTGTAGATAGGGATGGGGAAGATATTCTAGACATGAGAAATAGCATGAGCAAATTAGAAAGTGAGGTTCTCAGGGTGGGAAAAAGGTCAGAAAATTCATGAGGGAAAGGTGTGGTGGAGGGGTACAGAATAGGTAAACAAACTAAACTAGAACCATTCCACTTTCCTTGAGTATAATTAATGGCAATGGATGTCCAAGGATCCTGTCAGGACCAAGTCCAGATGAGACATGATTACAGTGCCTTGTCTTTGTGCTTTCCTCTCCAGGCTGCCCTGAGCATCCATGGCATGTGTGGGGGACCCATGCTCGGCCTGTTCACTTTGGGAATTGTATTTCCTTTTGTCAACTGGAAGGTAAGAGCTGATAATCGCTTGTAAAATACCTCTCCTTTGGCTGCCTCTCCTTATTTCCCTTTGCCTCGAGCATTATCTCATAGCTGAAAGATATCTCTTTAAGACTGACAGACCATTTCCCTTAGACAGGCAAATACAGAAACCCCTTCTCCTCCTACTTCCCCCCTCCCCACTTCCTTAACCAAAACTATTTAGGTTGAAGCCTACAATGCTGTGTAAAGAAAGGATGGGAATTCCAAGTTTGTGTTGCAAATCCATTCAGCAACTACTTACCTATGGTCTTACATGTACTAAGGACATGTAAGCATCTTCTAAGTGCTCCAGAGTGGGCAGGAAAGGAAAGAAGAGAAAGGGCAATGAGAGAGGAAAAGCAGAAGAAATAAATTAAGGGGACAATGGGTAGATATAGGGAGGGAGAGACAGGTGAAACAGAGAATAGAGCAGTGCAGAAGGGGAATATGAGAGAAAGAGAGACAGAGAGAGAGAAAGAAAGAGAGAGAGAGAAAGAGAGAGAGAGAGAGAGAGAGAGAGAGAGAGAGAGAGAGAGAGAGA